TGCTAATCAGAAATGGGCACGGAGTTTATTCCTTCATGGCACATGTTTTAATCACTTCCAAAGAGCATCTGTGAGGCCTGTGGGACCCCAGAAGCCCTCACACAGCTTTGCTCCACTCCTGCTCCACCAATGTACAGAGCTCCCAGGTCCTCAGCACCCTGCAAAACCTCGGTGAGTCTGCAGAGGTGCCCGTGGGCTCACCAGGACTCTGCAGATCTGTTGTTGGGGAGCAGGGATGATGCTTGCCCTGCGCCTCGGTCATTACTTGTTCACAGAATACATTTAAGGATCATCTGGCACACCCGCAAAGGTGGGACTTCCATTTCCTGCTGTTTATTCAGAAACCTTTAACTCCTTTATCACCACATCACACTGTCTCATCCCACCACTGCATTCCCTCCACCTGTGCCCACCCCACAAGGCACTGGGACTCCAATGCAGTATTCACCTCCCTTTCACTGCGCACTCTTTGCCTGGCTTTTCCATGTATATTCTTAAGTTCTCCATGAGAGCAGCGTTCCTGTGCTGTACGGTGCCGAGCACAGCCAGCAAGGATCACTTCTGTAATAACCGTGACTGACAGCTCTGATGTAACCCAGCAGTGAGCATGGGAATGCCAGGGCTGGAGGAGCCTGTTCCGGGGCACAGGGCCAGCTCCCTCCTCCTGCTGATCCACACTGTGTCCCGATGGCAGAGGGTTATGGCTCCTGTATTCCTTTTGCTTATAATAAAAGCTGACTTTGGTCATCAGCTGCCAAACGGCAGAAAAGGAATAGGATAAATGTACCTGGAGCTGAGCACCAAGCCCTCAAGTGCCATTTAGCCCCATGGTTGCTTTTGCTCCCACGCACACTTCAGTATTTGACATTTCACAGAATGTATCAGTCAAAGCTATCACCTAATTGCAGTAATGATCTCTTGGTTAAGAGCGAGCTCTTGGCAAAGCTTCAAGCCCTGATCATTTCAACTGAATCCAACTGCAAGAAAACAACTACCTTTAAAGCTGTCATGTCTTATAGCACAACCGTTCCTGCCACCCCATGAAGCATACATGCCACATCCTCTAAGTCCATCCTCTAGCTGACCCACGTCAGCCCACAGAATTCCAGTGGGTTTGTGATTCCCATTAAAAGGGCCAAACTCTGGACAGTTTCATGCATAAGGCAGACTTTTACCTGGCAGAAACTCAGCAAACAATTTTGTAAATCTGAAAAAATAGAATTAAAGAAAACACAGCAAAATCTGTCTCTGCACTCAAAACATCGTCTTCAAGTTTTCTCTCCTATTTTTGAAGCAATGTTTTCCAGTGTATTTTTGTCTATCTTAAATTACCTGAAAGCAAGATAAACAACCCATGAATATTTTATTAGACTTGACATTATGCAAATTAAAGAAGTTTGGACTTCACCATAAATTAGCTCTCAGCCCCCCCCAAAGGACTCCTCATGATTTCCCACCTACTAAACACTGACCCTCAGCATTCTTCTGCTCTGGAGGGGCTGAATGCAATTCCTGACTTGACCCTGCAGAGACAGAGAGACCGAGATAGGTTGGGGCTTTAAAAGGCAGCCTGGAAAGCAGACCTCCTCCGGCTGCCGATGGAAGTGTAATTATTTTTATAAACCTTTCAATGTGAGTGACATACAGAACAGCGGCACGAACCCTCCACGATTTCCACACCGAAACAGCGATTTTGATTGGGCTCATAGCACTGCAGTGGTTTCCTTCAGCAATTCTGCCCACTCATCTCACAAAATAACAGGGAAATACATAATTAAAGGCAGATTGCAATGCTGAACTCCAAGCCTTCTGACTTGGCTGTTCCTCCCCTTCAATGTACGAGCAGGAATTAGGGCACCTAAGCGCAAATACAGCCCTGCAGAAACCATCTACATACGGCTCCTGATCCAAAAGGGAAAGAAACAAAAAGGTATTTCTTAGGGAACTATTAAACCAACTGCTACTTACAGCACACAGTTTATTTGCAATCTCCGAACGCTACAGGCTGGATGAATCTCCAAGCTCTTCTTTTCGTTACCCACCAGAATTATGATATGCTTAATTTAAACCACGTTTCTCAAACCTCTAAGTGGTTTAGCAGAGCTGAAAAGCTTGTCACCCTGTAGAAATGATTTTATGCCATTTTTCTATCAAAAATTCACAAAAGTTACTATCACCCTGAAAACATAAATTACAAGTGTGTTCTTCCCAACACATGTATTCTCCCTTTAACACATTTTCTTGAGCTCATGGCAGACTTTCTATACAAGCACGTTACAGCATAGCGAGATGCATTTGCTACAGGTATGTAACTTAAAACTGTTTGTAAGAAACATCCTAAACATGTCCCTTGCTATAAATGTGACATCTTTACAGCATATGCTTAGTAAATGAAAGCCCTGGGAAAAGGAGGAAAGTCAGGATACCTCCCATATAACTGATTGTAAATTCTTGGGCACCAGGTTTATATTCTTAATAACCTACTAGTTAGACTTAGTGTGTCTGTTCCATCTAAGTCAATTTAAATGAGGTGTACCAGATACAGTACATAAAGTGTTTCATACTTGTGGAGATATGTTTAACTATTGTTTCTTTAGGAAAATCTAATAGCTAGCTCCATTTAATCACTGTCAGATGTTCTACATGTTGCAAGTGGTAACTTCCTTGACACAAACTGCTTTTAATCAGGAATCTCCGACATATCTTGCATACATCTCAGACTGACTTTTGTGATACATTAAAAAGTTTTTATAGTATGTATTTTTTGGTTTACTTTTTGCTTTACTGAGTACTTAGGAAAAAAAACACAAGGTAACTTCTTCTTTCTCTGGAAAAGACCATGAATTCCATGGGGTTTCATAAAAATTAAACCACAAATGCAACACCCCCCACCTCCTTCTGTTCGCAAGCTCTCATTGCACTTACATGGAGCCTGGGTTAATACAACCAGTTCTGTCAAACCCAGCCAGGGCCCAGCACCGCGTTACTGTTCTTCCTGATCTCAACTGTTGTTTGTAAACACATCCTGGGCTGAGAGCACGCGGATGGAGCACTGATAATAACAGCCTTCAAACTATGTTCTTTAACTTCTCTGCCTCCAAAAAGGCAATCAAAGCCACCCCCCAATGTGTGATTAAATATACGCAGGGGATAATCTCGCCTCCGAAAAGCTGGAGAAAAGGTGGTGTCGAGACGGGTTTGAAGTGGCCTCCTTAAGAGAAAAGGACGGTCCCTTTCTGTGTACATCATGATTTGCTTTGGGATTTCTGTTGTGCCCCGTAAGCCTACAGGATATTACAGCAGCTTTTGTGTCGCTGGTGACCCAGCTGTTCATTATTGAAAAATTCCACTGCTTGATGCTGAGGGCAGGAAGGCTGACCCCTCATCGTATGGACGTTACTATCTTTCAAAAGATACAGGATTAAAGGGCCGAGCAAAATCTGGAGGAAAGCTATGTCTGGTTTTCTGTGTTTTCATTGTCTTTCGCTATATTGGCCCAGAGAGGGATGTTTGTACAGGATTTAATTAGTTGGAATCAGGCTGAGATTATTGTTGAGACTATTTACTCAGCAAATCTCCAGTCTGAGCCGGAGCTCGAAATGAGTCTGAATAAGAAAATGCAGGAGTGCTCAGTCTTACCACTCATATTCTGTAACAAGCAGCAAGACACGGATGTGAAGAGTCTGATCATGTGAGGTGCCGAGTGCCCTTCGTTCCCACTGGGATCAATATAGCATGAGGGGAACTATCATTATACCACATGATTAAGCCTTAATCAGCTATAAATAGCAAGTGAGAAGATCACAAAAGCCCCTGAGGTTCAAGGAGAGCTTTTAGTGCATTCTCCCAGGGAGCATGGCTATAATACTAGCGTGTGACACAGCACACGAAGCAATAAAAGGCGTGTTGTTATCACTCCTACAGTGGTGGGGATCCAGTCATTCCACAGAGTTCAACTTCCTATAATAAAAAAATGTTAGTAATATATATTTAACATATTTTTTTTTCTAAATTAAAGCATCAAGATTTGGATATGAGACCCTGGATACGTCAGCTTCAATGGGAAAGAATACCCAGCATCTTCTAGATACAAGGTAGGCAGCTGGAAGGGAAATCAACATGGGAGAAAGCAAGGGATGTTGTTCTGCAGTAGGAGATGAGCATCTCTGAGAACACAGGACATTCACTGGTGGGCCTCCCCTGGTTCAGGGAGGGAGGAGATTCTGGCAGGAGATTCCCTGGGAGACACATATTAAACTCCTCAATAATTCAAGGCTCTGAGCTCTCTGCATTTCAAGGGGAGGGTAGTCACTGTTAGGAAAGGTTTGTAGAGATCAATAAGCTGCTGTTCATACTTTGTACAATAACACGGGTGATTCAGTCACCATGTGCAAACACAGAGATACCGGAGGGAGCAGAAGCAGTCCCTCCATGCACCCTTCCAACAGGGCTCCACAGTGCAAGCACTCAGGTGGAAAGCCACTGCAATACACAGTTATTGGACTGTGTATTTCCTTGGAGAACGACCTCCACCAAAATGAATAGCTGCTTGGAGATGCAAGTGGTCATTATCCAGTGTACTAGACGAGATATTAAGATTGCCAGAGGTGAGAAAAACATGTGGACTCAGCTCCCTTTAGCCAGGCATAAACCTCATCCAGAAATCACTCCCTGAGATTTATTATTCTTTGATGATGACCCTCACCTAGCTGCCAGGACCTCATGTCTTGAGCACTAAGCAAGCCCAACAGTATTACTGCAGCAGCATCCCATGCTGAAATGAGAGTGCACAGAAACCAAGAAACTTCTGCCACGTAGAAGGATGTTTAAGGTAAGGAGGCTGTTGCTTTGGTTGCGCTGGTTATTGTGGCATGAACCTGGCCCTGCCTGTGAGGGGACAGGATGCTCTGCAGGCATGTTGGTCTGCGGATGTTCCTATTCATGGAGCTGCTCTCCACGGAGGGGAAAAACCCTTCCCGGAGGCACAAGGCCCCTTGTTGCCTGGCTGCGTTAGTTCAGTCCAAATAATATTGTTCTAAAGTCACACTTGCCAGACTGAAGAGTAACAGACACCAAGAAAGCAAACACAGGAACTCCAGCAGATCCTCACCCAGTCAGACACCAGTGACTGCCCGCTTCAAAAGACAAAGGCAGGCTCTGACCCATGCCTCAAAGCAGAAGGCAGCAGGCATACTGAGCATCTCCTCAACTACTGGAACACTGAAATAAAGCAAGGAAGTAGAGGAAAACTCAGCACTGCCCTCAGATCCCAGCTCTGACTTCTTACCAGTTTTGAGTAAATTCTTGGCACTGGCTCAAAAGGCTTTCTGTGAGCAAGCATGTTGTCAGCATTTTTCCTTTAAAGACATATAACCTAAAGTAAAAGAATAAAGCCAGACTGAGATTTATGTTGCAGCTTTCTTTCACTACTCCCCTCTACCCCCTTTTGGTAAAGTACTGATGTTGATGTATTAGTGAGCTCTGCAAGCTGTGGGCATGCGACTTCAAAGGCAGAGGTTTAGCCCGCCAGGAAAGATGACAGGATGGACCTCTCCAGTGCTGGGGGTGTGGATCCTGCAGCTGAGCAAGGCAGAAAGGCATCTTATCTGTAGCTGCTGTGTAGCACTGGGGACTTCCCCAGACCTTGCCAACTGTTCTCAACATGCCTGACGGATCACAGGGCCTAAGGAAATTATTGCCATGTTTATATTACATGGTTATATTATCTGCTTGCAGAAACCATAGCCCCCTTGTGCACTCAGGCTCTTCTCCTTAAAGAAAGGGGGAGAATCTGAATAGAACAGAGTCTGGGCAGAAGCAAGATGCAACAGACAATGAACAGAAAAAACGCTTTCAAATATTATTGCCAGTGGTGCTGTATGAAGTGGCAGGTATGCCTTGGTCCCTGAAATGCGCTGCAAGCTTCCAGAAACAACGATTCTTCTGAAAGTTAAGGTATTATATAGATCAGGGTATGGAGGAAGAGCTGCATGGCTCAGCTCAGCTCACAGACACAAACCCCAGGGCACCACGCAGAGCTCTGTGGTTGGAGCGGGTCGTGCTGCTGCTCAGGCTTCAGGGGAGAGATGGCTTGGCTGAATGGCTTCCCATTCTCAGCCATTCCTGGACATGCTATATGTGTCTTGTAAAACTGGGTAAACCCAGGAAAATGGTATATATTTGCTGAATTATTAGTTAAGAAATTAAATGTGAATGTTTCTTTTTATAAGTAGTCAGGAAAAAATGATAATTGTAAACAGGGTAAAGGACTCATTTAAAATAGCCATGCCGCAGAGGTTTAGCTGTGTCCAAGCTGCAGTGAGACTCAAAGCCGCCTGTTTTAAAACACTGAAGCACAAAGGAACACCTCAGTAACACAGCATGGACTGTGAGCATGTCAGTTCCACTGTGAATGAACTGAAAGCAGGTTTTGGGCTCGAATATATGTGGGACATGGGGTTTTGGTGTGCTGTGGCAGATACAGATAGATGGCGGACACACAGAAGCACCCCAAGGGCAAACCATTTGAATCCTTTACTACTGATGTAAACAAAGACACCACTCAGTATCCATGATGTGAATGACGTGGAGATGAGCTTCATCTCCAGCTCCAGGCCAACAGCACATCAGACCTTCACAGCCATTCTGACAGGCAAATCACTGCACGGCACTGGCAGCACCAGGACCCTTGGTAGTTTCAGGACCTCCTGCCCTGACAAGGTGGGTTCCCTGTGCACACCAGCACCAAATAAAGGGGCTCTGTGAAGGTGAGGGCAGCCATGGCTCACACACCAGCACGGGCAGGAGGGACCCTACACAGTGCCAGCACCCCATGTGGTGCAGCATCCACCCAGGAGGCTGCAGCAGCGTGGATGCAGTGGTGGAAAGCACAGGCTGCAAATTCAGCACTGTGGCTGCACGGTTATTCATCAGATGACCAGAAAAACACTGCAGCAAACGCTCGTTTGTCTGGCTGCGAAGCCACACTTGCTCCTTTGTTGAGCTGACACACACACGAACAGGGCATAAAATGACAGCGCTCAGGCTGCCAGTGCCACGCACCATGTGCTGCAGTCACCAGGAGAAAACCCTTCCCCATCTTTTTTTTCCTCCCTCTCTCCCCTTTTTCCCCCTTTTCACAAAGAGCAAATGGATGTTTAAAAACCCCTGATCTGATCACTCCGTCCAAGCTGCGGTGCACCTTGAGAGATTCGACATCCAAGCTGTTGACAGCGCCATTTCCCTTATCGGCTCATCCTCCCATGGAGAGCGACCAGGGCCAACGCTCCTGGTGATTTATAAAGAAAACTGTTTTCACAGACAGAACATGAAAGACACAAGCTCTAGATTACCACCGAGATTAGCATGCAAAAATGTATTTGAATTTCTGATCAGCAGGAGGCTTCAAAGGGGACCAAGTGCAGATTAGCAGGTGTTACGTGAAAAAAGGAGAGAGGGCTTTTGTGCTACAAAGTTGCACGAGCAAAACAAATATGTCTTTCACTTTGAAGAGCTAGGGAGGAATTTGTTGGCCATTGCCATGGAAACTCAACAGGCCTTAACGTTGTAAAGCCAGATTTTGGAGACAGAACTGCTGTTATGGCTCTATGCTGCTGAATATAGCGTGTCTTTATCAGAAGACTGGTGGGGAAAGTTAAATGACAACGTGACACCATTACGACACCTTTGTTTGCATCAGCTGAGTTTCCATTATCTGAAAAGAGAAAGGGCACAGCAGGCACTTGCTTTCTGTAACGGACACCCGGAAATTACATTGATTTGGAGAAAAATATAAAGGGCCTTGATTATCATAGAATGGCTTGGGTTGGAAAGGACCTTAAGACCATCCAGTTCCAACCCCCCTGCCATAGGCAGGTATGCCTTACCCTAAACCATGTCCCTTATCACTAACACCTAGCTAAGTTTTCTGGGCCGGTATGGTCCTACCCAAACATTGTGTAGGGTTGGTCTTTGGCTATATGTTTGTTAATCCTTTTTCCTCTTCTCTCTGCAGTCATCCCGTCTCTGCATTGTAACTGACCGACACTCACGTGAATCACCAAGTCCTGACTAGTCTGCAATGGTCTTCAACCAAACCAGTTGTCTGGAGAGCACCATGATGCTGTTTTCAATCACTGACCATGCTCGAGCTGTTACAAGTCCACATCCTTGGGCCCTGCAAATGGTGCTTTGCTGTGGTGCGGGCTGCTGCAGCCTATTGAGAGTATCCCCATGCACCCACTGAGGGTGCAGCAACAGCAGGCTCAGGCTGCAGAGCTTCTGCCTACGTGCCTCTGCCTTTGGCTGCCCAGTGTACCCAGCCCAGTTAGGGGTATTGTTTTATAAACAGAACACGTCCACAATTAACCAGTTAGTCCACCACCAACTCATCACCATCAGCACTCTTGAAACACACAATTAATTAACTGATGCCAAGATATTAAGCTTAAAGGTCACAGTATCTCACAGCTTCCTCTACACCGTTCAGTCTGCGCTTATCAAGCAGCCCAGCAGGACTGATGACAGATTTTGTGACTGGGGAGCCTGCAAATCCCTGCTGCTGGGGGCAAGACCAGTTCTGAGGCCAGACCTCCACCAATATGACCCCTCCATGCAAAGAGCCACTGCAGACGCTAGATACCAGTAGGCAAGGTCTCCTGCTTGCTCCCACCAAGGTCTGGCTGGACACTGCTTCCCAGAGGGAGCAGCAACATGAACACACTGGATGCAGGGCACTGGGGCACCTCCCCAGAGAGGCTGGGGGCAGCTGGGGGCCACGCAGGCAGCAGGAAGGAGGCATTAGGCTAGTGCCCATGAGAAAGGTGCTGTGGCTCCTGCCAGCCACCGCCAGCCCTGGCAAGGGGCACTGTGCCAAAGAGGCCAGTGCTCTGCTGTGGATCCTATATACATAAAAAAAGACTATTTTCTTAGTGAAAACATGCCCCTCAGTGTGGCTGAGGTCCATGGTGGATGGCAGCAGAGCCATCGGCACTGGGGCCATAGGGCCACCTTCCCCAGAGGGCACACAGCTGTAGGGCCCTGCAACCACAGAGCAGGTCACTTCATGCACACTGGGAAGTAAGGCAGCAGTAAAGGCAGAAGCTGTTGATTTTCCCCTGGTTTGGATCCCTCCACGGGGAGGCTGCTGGTGCTGCTGCCTATAACTAGCCTTACCAGCAAGGAACGAGTGCTCAGGGCACCCAGGAGCTCCTCCCATGGGGTACAAAGTATAAAGGAAACAAAAATCATGGAAGACTTGAAAAGGCAGGATTCAGAACCCCCTCCAGGGCCCGGGGTCAGCAGGGGACCACGCAGCGCTCTGCTGTGCTTGTGTTTCCACAGGCAGGATCCTGCCTCCAGGCGCCTCTCTGAAGTGTGTTCAAGATTCTGTGCAATCCCTCCGGAGGAAGTTGCACTCCCTGGGGAACCTCTGGCTCTTGGGGGCTTGAGGAGAAGTGGGTTAAAAGCAGTAATTAGTTCTGCTCCACTTACAACTGGCCTTGATAGAAAACCATGGGAAGAGGGACCCGGCACCACGTCAGACACGAGGCCTGTTTGGAATTCCAGGGGGAATCTGCTTTCCTAGCTCTAAGATTAGCAGCGTCAGAAGACACTTCTTAGGCACACTGGGGCTTGGCTAGTTTGTTCCTGTTTACGATCTGAATTGTCATTTAAGACAGCATGATCTACTGGTGCTTGAGTGAGAGCGAGCCTCACAAAACACCTTAAGATGCCCTGTAATGTAATGCACTACATTAAGGACATATTCTGTGCAAGCAGCACTGTCCAGACATTAGATATCAACTGCCCGTGAAAAGAAATGAGTGCAACAATAGTCAGTGGGAGCGCTTGAAACCCAGTATACTTGCTTGAACATGTATCCCCTGCCTTAGATCTCATTTTTAACTTCCACAACTACTTGCATAAGAATACTGACTTCCTTTCCAGCTTGACTTACCTTAGCCTACTTCATTCATATTTGCAAGTATGCATTTTGCCCCCGAGAAATCTGGCAGAAAACGAAAGTGCTGTCCTCTTCTACTTGTTGGCTACTTATGAAAAGACTCACAGTATTAAAAGCTAAAGAACTGGTTCCACAGAATTCCACAGAGATAAAGCACACAATTTGTTGCAGATACTGACTGAATTTCAGTAGCATTTACATTCAAGCTAAGAGGGAGCAAAAACTTTTGTTTTTTAATCACTAACGAGTCACAGGCCTGTTTACACGAAGTAAAGAGCAAATAACACTTGCATGTGAAAAAAAGAAGCATGCTTTAGAATAAAAATCCTTGATGCATATTTCATATGGGACAGGCACTTTTAAACTAATTAGGTACATTGGAAGGGAATATTTAGATCTTACTCCACGCC